AAACCGAAACTAAATTTTTTAATTTGCCGAAACTATTGCCGAAATTTAGTAGTTTAGGCAAACTTCTATAACCTCGCACCATCATCATCACCAATACCATCACATCTAACTTTACATTCAATACTATCATTCTACTCAAGGATCAAGCGGGAGATGATGCTATTAATCTTAGTTTTGAGTAGAAGACAATGATGGTTTTTGTTAGTCTCTACAAAGCTTGGTACATCCTAGTGGTGGCTAATTCACTGAATTTGTTTAGAACTTAATTAAAAAATATTTATAAAAAGATAGTTGTTCTAGTTGTGACACTTGCATACTTCATGAAAAAGGTATGTTCAAAAGTTTGAGTATCAGACTTAGAAGGCAGTATTTTTTCTTTATCCAACATTAGACCTAATTCTAAAGGTCATTATGCTATAACTACCAAAAGACATACATGGGAAATCATAAGGCACAACACACGCACATACAACACACAAAAAAAAAAGAAGCCAAGTAGAGACTTCTTCACCACCACTTGGATAACAATGTGACGGATAATTGTCCTACATGGAAAAAGGACATAACTAAAATCACCATGCATGGATTTATTTTCTAATTTTACTTGTGAGGACATTATGTGATTTTCCAAAAATTGGTTCCTTAAAAAGTTTTGTTTCTAGTATTATATTACTTGGGTGATGCAATTTATCAATTTTATTTTTTTATTTTTTTATTATTTTTTTATGGTTTAATAAAATCAAATTAATTTATATAATTGATTTTTTTTATTTTTAACAAATCAATAAATCAATTGAATTAAGTTTAGATTCGATTGGGAATCAATAATTAGAATTGGGTTTTTAGATAATGTAATATAGATTAATATTAATAGTATTAATGATGTTGATGATGACGAAAACGATAGATTGTTTTTTTAGATGTATCATGCATGCACTTGCTAAACATTCTGGTTGGTCATAAGTTTAAAGTGTATAGGAGATTGTATATCATACAGAAGAGGATACAGCCATTTGTTGAGAATGGCATTTAAAGATGCTTTGGGAGCACCAGAAGGAATTAAAAAATTTGGGTACTCGTATGCATCATTAGATGAGGCAACAACAACAAATTTTTTTATTAATTAATTTTTGGTAAGCGTTATTTAAAGCAGTTGTTGATATATCAAGAAGACCATTTGCAGATATTAACCTTGAATTGAAACGTGAAAAATTGGAGATTTATCAACTGAGATGTTGCCAGGTCTTTTGCTACAACACCAGAAATTACGTTGCATGTTGATTGAAAATAAAAAATGATAATCACAGGTTTACTTTTTTTTTAGAATTTATGAATAAATAATCAATGACTTTTCTTATACTTTACTTTTATTTATTTATATATAACTGAATCATCTTTAAAATACTTGCTATAGTTTTATTCCAAGCAATTAAAATAACTGGTACTAACGATATACCCAGTACAAATAGTGTATTACGATCTTAACCATCAATCATCATCGTAATGTAATCTAAAAATCATGCTTAAATTTTTAATCTTTAAATTCCAAACATTATAATTATTGAAGAAAAAAAAAGATATTTTGTTTATTATTATTCTATTATTACAATTACAATTGTGATGTTTTTTAAAAGAAAAAGTAAAGTATATATATGTATGTATGTATAAATTTACAACTCCCCTTGTTTTTCCCGCAATATATTGTTTGTGAATTTGTATTTGTGTATATAAATAAATAAATAATAATTAATATAATTGAAAAAGGCGATTAAGAAATCACACAATCGGTTTTTTTCTTTTTCTTTATATTAATCAGCACATCCTTTGATTTTTCCTGAGCTCTTTTATCACCATGTTGAGCAGCACGACGATACCAAACAGCAGCTTCCAATTGATTTTGTTTAACCCCAATACCAAATTCAGTGAAATAACCTACGGCATATTCAGCTTTCGCCAATCCTTTATCAGCAGCACGTCTAGCCCATAAATATGCTTCTCTGTCACTTTGTGGCAACACCCCAGGGCTCCCAACAAGATACCAAGCTGTTAACGCAAAACAAGCTTCACAATGATCTTGTTGAGCAGCAATTGTGTAGTAGTGAATTGAGAGAGCGGGATCTTGCTGATAACCTCTTTTTCCATACTCGTAACATTCGCCCAATTTAAATGCAGATGGAGCGTAACCTAAATCTGCAGCCTGTATTAACAGTTGAATAGAGTATTCTATATCCACAAATACAACGTTCTCAACACCCCTCTCATGTAGTTCAGACAATTCATGTAAGGCATGTGGAAATTCTTCGTTTGCTGCTTCAGCTGATCTTTTAAGCCATTTTACACCATCTCTAGGATTTTTTGATGAACCAAGCTCACCCCTCAATTCGGCAATGCCTAAACGATACAAAGCACCAGGATGGTTTGCTGGTATTGATTTCCTATATACATAAACATTTATACGTATTAACAAAATATAATACAATATTAATATAATAATATTAATTTCATCAAAATCATCATCAATTATTAATTGATCTATTACCGACTTTAAAAATTTTAGAGCTTTAGCATCATCTTTACGACAACCCCACCCATTTTCATAACATATACCTGCACGATAAGCAGCCTCAGGGTGATTGTGTTTAGAAGCTTGAACAAACAAGGGAAAAGCTTTGTCAAAGTCAGGCTCATTGGTTGGTGTACCAATCGCGCTTGCATAACAATCAGCAAGATAATATTGAGAGTTTGCATGACCTCTGTCCGAAAGTTTTTTTAGTAGAAACATTCCTTCTTTACACAATTCTTCTCTTTTTTTAGGGTCTTCATTCATAACTCTCGAAGCTTCAATAATAAAAGCAGCAAATTCAAACTGAAGTTCAGGGTCATTTGTTTTTTTAGCATTTTGACGATATAGTTCTAAAGTTTGAATGTGTGAAAGTAGGGAGGCTCTATGACCAGGTTTTAGATGAGAATGGTCAAGTATAATAGGAGACTCTACAAAAAAATCAGAGTCAGGTCTTGAAGAATTGTTTGACATTTTATATTTAAAAATATGTATGCAAATAAAGAGAGCATTGTACCACTATAGATTACAATTTCAAGAATCACTCTTCTTGCCGATTCTTGCCTTTAATTAATTGAATATTTAATATAGTACAATTTAGTTAGTTACATTTTGTAAATTAAGCATTTGATAAATTCTAACTAAATATGCAAGTAAACGTGTGCAATTTTTTATTTTTACTCAAGTTGCCAGTGATAACAGAATTCCCTTTTGTTGTAATCATGATGCTTTATTTGATAAGCGAAATTATTACTACTGATTACTCAAAGGAATCCATTAATGATTTCCAGTTTTCATACTCACGTATTCATAACGACAATATTGTCATCTTCATTAGAAGTACGTGCTAGGTCATCATCATCTTTTACATCATTGTTTTGTCATGAATAGAAGAATCTTGATCAAGGAACTGTAACAATATCATTACCTTCATCAGAAGTGCCTGTTGCATTATAATACTTTTATCATAAATAGAAGAATCTTTATTGTTATTGATTGAAGGAGCTGTAAAAGTATCTTTTTTAAAAATGCCTATTGCATTATCATCACCTGTATTTTTATCTTCAATAGGAGAATCTATATTTTTACTGGTTGAGGAACCTGCAATATTGCCATTACTTTGTTCTAAGTTTATTAAATGTAAATATTTAAATGGTTTCCATAAACAGTGTTTTTTTTTTCTTTAGTTATACTATGTAACCATTGAAAAAACTATCAATATATTAATATAGTTATTTATGTTCTTCACCAATTCTTAATAAATCCATATCTGAAAATCAAGTAATTGTGAAAAAATAATTAAAATGGAAAAGGGCGCAAAACTTTTATCAATTACGATTTAACTCTTGCCATTTTTCTATTTTAAAATTTTTTTAGTTTTATCCATAATTTCATACGACATTAAAAATTGCCTTTCTGCAATACCCACCCAAAATAGTCACACCATTTAGTTTTTCGGATCTCTGTTGTACGAGACCTTTTTTTTTGCTGATCATTGAAGATTGCCATGCTTTTTATTAAAAAATATCATTTCATATTAGATTTTATTAATACAAAAATATAAAGATTCTAATAATTAACAATTAAATATATAAATAAAGACTCTTCTATTATTATTATTAAATATCTTTTTTTGGTTTTTTGAAACATAATAGTTGCAAACTTGTATTTTTACGTCCCTCAATCAATAATTGTTTAACACCAGCTAATTCTGTATCCAAACTTCCTGATACATGATCACTATCATATAATCGTTCAATAGTTTCATATATTTCTTTAAATATCTCTTGTGCTTTTGGTGTAATGTATTGCGATAAAGATTGATGCATAAATTCAACTTCTAATGTTGCCTTTTTTTAAGGGAAATTTGGAAAAGAAAAAAAATCAATGATATATTCCTCTTTATTTTTATTTTTAATTAAATTTATTTACCTGTAATAATCCACCCATGCCGAATTTATTAACTTGTCGAAAAGATTCAAGACAATATTGTGACATACTTTCCAATAAAGCTGACAATGTACGATCAACAAGTTGTTTAGCAATATCACTAACTTGCGAATGAACCATTACAAGCGATAATAAGGCCTTATAAACATATGGATTCACCTCTTTAAAAAATTAAGCAAATAATTATACAAGTATATAAGTGTTACTGTATATATATATATATACACGTATCTGTAAATAATAATAATAAGTAAACTTTCTTTTACCTATAGGTTTAGACATATTATACCAATCAATATTTCCCATTAGAATGCCTTCTTTAACTATTTTAGAAATAACTTCTTTTTTAGATTTTATATAGTCTTCAAATAAAACACCATCCAATTCTACTATAAGGTCATTTACTGACTATTATCAGAATAAATATATATCATTAATATATATATATTAGTTTAAATAATATAATATTAATATGCCTACTGATGCATCTTGTTTCATATCTGCTTTATATTCCGATTCAAATTGTGAAATTAAATGAGGTATTACTACTTGTTTTAAATTAGAAAGATTGCTGATTGTAAGCAAGATTCTTGATTCCTATTTTAAAAATATAAATATGTTTAAATTAATAAAAAGAAGTTTTTCCTGAGAAAAAAAATTCAAAAATTTACAATTTGAGAGGGATCTATTCTTGATTTATGAATAATATCTGTGGATTCTTTTTCTAGTGGATCAATCGGATTATATTCTGTAAATGCAAGATGAACCAATCCATCCAAATATTCAAATAGTGACGAAACAAACGTTGATTTGATTTTATCCGTATAACTTCTATCTATATTATATGATTTCTTTTTCAAATAAAAAAAAATATGTTATGATTTTAATATTATATCTACCTACATACACATATATACAATGAAAGACTTTCAAAAAAAATAATATAATATATATATATATATATATATATGAAATATCGAAATATACATACTCCACTGGCATCATCTTTATCAGAAACGTGTTCCGGGCATACAATTTTGTAAGCACTACTTGAATTAAATTTGTGAAATATCTGAAAATTACGTAAATAATTGGTAATTTCCCGATTCTCTGAATCAAGAGACCAATCCTCAAGCAAATGAAATAATTTTGAATCTTGATTATTAAATAAATAAGTTAAAAAAAATAGTCATCTAGAACGAGCAACATTAAAAAATACCCAAAATTGATTAATGAAAAATTTTCTAAAAAACTAATTAATTACCAGAATTCCACACATTACATATAATTTCTGTAAACTTCCCTCTAATTTGTTTCATTAATGTAATCAAGGCTCCTGAAACATCCGATGCCATATTAATTGAATTAATGTCATTTACACAATCACTTATCACATGTAAGATTCTTGTTAGAAAGTAACATGTAGTTATTGAATCTGAATATGATGGAACAAATAGTGGTGATGTAGTAGGAACGGCAGTGGTTGTTATATCTTCAGAAAATGTTTGCGTAGGGTCAATTGAAAAAAATCTAAATAGCAGTAAAGCATAAAGATCAATAACACCTTTAGCCATATTTTGACATTGTTCTACTTTTCGAAGGTCCATTCCTTGACGTCGACGTCTATTAGCACTAAGAACTGCAGGACTCTAAAAAAAGAAAAAATGACATTTATGTATAATTAAATTAAAAAATATTAATTGATTCTATAAAATTTATACCTTTTGAAATTTCCCATCCATAAATGATTTGCTTAACTTCCAAAAATCAGGCAAACATCTTAAAAGTAAATCAGACAAAGATTTCACAAGTTCAAATGTTGACTTCCATATCTGTACATCCATATTTTTACTTGCTGAAATTTATAAGTCTTGATAAATTTGATTATTGATTGATTTAAATAAATAATTTAAGATTTAAATATGGACCAACCTGTTAATGAATCATAATCTCTTACATTAATAGTTCTTAATGCATTTCTAAGGCGTAATGCAGTTCCCTTGGAATCGCCAGACATTTCTGGAAGTAAATCTTTTAAAGCTTTGAATAATATCACAAGTTATATAGATAAATATAAATATATAAATATAAATTTATAATAACAATAATGATAATGGTGATAGTGATGATGATGATGATAATGATGATAAAAATAAAATAAACCTTCAATTTTGTCTAACTGTTCTTGATACGACTCTTCAAGTAAATCAATAATAAATTTAAATTGGCTATCAAGATAATGCCAAACAGGATCATCAGCAGTATCAAGCTCAAGAAGAATACTTAATAAAAATATGAAATAAAATATTAAAGTAGACAGGCATTTATAAATAATATTAATTAATTTAATCATCAAATATGAACCAAAACAATTAAATTGATAAACATACTTGATGGTTTTTTCTTGATCTTCCATTGACCTCCATGGCTCTGTCAATTGTTTAAACAATTGCGCTTTCATTTCTTCCATTATTTTTTCAACTTCAGTCCAAACTTTGTCAAATACCTTCCTGTACTGGTTAGAAAGAGCTGCATCATCACTACTTTCTTTTTCAGTTATAGGTTTTCCTGCACTATTATTATCCGGAACTTCACATGACATTGTTGATTCTAATATAACTTTCCCTTTTTTATAATCTCTCATAACTACATCATATTTTTGCTAATATCAAAAAAAATCAGGATAATTTAAATGGTTTTATTTTATTATAATTATTTCAAAAATAAATTAGGAATAATATTTTACTTGTCTAATTAATTCCATAAGGCTACTAGGTAAAGTGAAAAAATATTTATATTTTTCCAATACACTTAATGTACTACGAATTTTCTCAGCCTTATTTCTGTTAGCCAATACTGGACCAAACACTTGCTCAGCCTTATTAGATGCCTCTTTTTTTTTAATAGAAATAATATAAATATTCCTTTCCAATATTAATATATATGTGTGATAGATATATTAATTATAAAATTATGACTACATGAATATATATATATACCAGATAAAGAATTATCCAAGCCTTTTATACCATAATCTTTCTCTGGGTTCAAACTATTGGCTTTCATTTCATTATAGACAGTATCAATTGTATTTTTAGCACTAACAAATCTATCAAAATTATCTTGAACCAAACTTCTAAGAGCTTCTGACTTTTGATCAAGTGTATATCTCAAAATTTTAGCTCCTTCACAAAGATCATTGTATGATGTATCATAATGTACTTGATGAAGAAAATATTTTGGATTAAATGATTTTGTACCAACAAGTAACTGTGATTCTAATTTTTTAATTTTTGATAATTAATATAATGTATCTTTTTTATTATTAGTTTTTATACAATGGATATAAATTAACAATTGATCTCTTACTTTCTTTAAAACTTTCATCTGGTGAACTTTGTCTTATTAAAATAATTTTTTTTAATAATTTATTTAACCAATTATATATACATTACTTTATAAAGAAAAAAAGTAATTAAAATTTTATTGTTCCATTTACCCCAAAACACTTTTCTTTATACTAAGGGGGTCAATATCTTCAAAACTCCATCTATCATCTGTTACATTACCACTACCAGATCCATTAACAATAGGTGAAGTTGATCCTTCTACAAAAGAATAACGCACTGATCGTCTATTGTCATTCTCTTCCACCCATGCAGTTGGTTCCAAAACATCAAGTCCATAAAACTTTAAAACTTGATAATTATAATTATATATATATACACACACGAAAGTTTTATTATTTTATTCAATTTAAATTATATTTTTAAAGTAAAATTAATTAAAAGTGAACCTGAGGTTTCTTCTGAGTTTAGAGATGTATTGGATTGTTTGTTTTGTTTGTACATTTTAATTATTTTGTTAAAGCTCAAAAAATATTACAATATCTTAAAAGGAATAGATCGTTATGCCATTTGATTGACATTTAGTAACCTGATTTGGGCATACTGCAACAAAACCAGACAAAGCAGTCAGGGATATTTCCATATATGGAAATACTAAATACCGTAATGATCGATGGTATGAAAAATTCTAGAAGAAATTCTGATTGGCTAAATTCAACCAG